CAGTGACAGTGGTGAATTACTGGAACAGAGTTACTGGAACCAGTGATGTGGTTGATGCACTGTTTCTGGAGACTGGATCAAGCCTTGGGCAACCTGATCTAGCTGTGAATGCCCCTGTTCGTTGCAGAGGAGTTGGACTAGGTGGCCTTCAGAAGTCCCTTCCAACTTGAAGGATTCTGTTTTAACCACTGCTTGGGAATGCTCTTAAAGCAACAGAGTTTAAAACAAACAAACAAACAAAAAAAACATCCTAGTGACCAGGCAGCTCTGTTTAGACTACTGTGAGATGTTAGGCAAAAAGGGCCATTTCATCTCTTTTAGCTTCTGCAGTTCCTGTGATTTGAGTAAATTGGAATCTGGCAGCTGGGCAAGGTTATATTCACAGGATGGTAGAAAGATGACCTATGCTTTTTTTTTTTTTTTTTTTTTTGTCTGTTTGGAAGGTAATGTAAATAGCTTGCCTTGCTGAAGCATCTTCAGACATTCAGTTGGTCACTCCTGTTTGCTGCTCTTTGTTACTGAAGAGTATCCCATCCAAGTTCTCCTGAAATCATATCACCTAACGCCTCCTTTCAGCAGCAGGCCATGAAGGGGCTGGAGCATGGTCCAGGGGCAGCTGGGTCTGGCCTGGATGAGAGTGGCTAGAAGCAGTGGCGTCACAGTGCTGAAGGCAATTTAAAAAGACAGGTATCAGAGTAGCCTGAACTGAAGGTGGAAACGAGAAGCTTAAATTAAACGTCTCATGTAAGAGAGCAGGCCGTGAGCCTCCCCTCGGTTCTTTCCTGTTTTCACTTCACCTCTCTCCCTTGTCTGTGCTTAACAAATGGCAAGGCTGAAGTTGGCTGGTGATGTGGTATGATAGAGTATGATGACCCAACCTGAGGAAACGTGCCAATTGGAGGAGAACATTGGAAAAGCAAGGTCCCAAAGGACAGCTGCCTCTGCAGTGGACTCAATATGTGCAACACATGTGACACCGGATTGTAATTTAGTATGTCTGGTAGGAGGAGTGTGTCTTCTCAATCAGTGGCAGTTGTAGGTCTGGGAACACCCACTGTGATCCCTCCCCGGTCAGCCAGAAGGCTGGTTGGAGGGAGCATCTGGCTTGTGGAGCAGGCTAGGCCTGAGAGTGGAATTAATTGTATTAGTGTTATGTAACCAAGGTTTTAGTTTGTTTGTTTTGCTTGTTTTGTTTTTACTGCAACCAGTGAAGTACATCCTATCAATTAAGGATAAGCCAGTGTTTCTACTGCAAACTCATAAACAAATCCACTAAATAATTTGTTTTTTTTTTTTTTTTAAACAGACGGTCTCTTGAGAAGAGAGGTCTAGGACTGAATTAGTGAGAACGCTGCAGGTCAGATTTGACATGCTGCATGGTGACAGAATTGTTTAGAAGGATCTGCCTGGAAGTCTCTTATTACAGCCATATCCAGCAAACTCTTGCAGAAGGTGCAGTCCCTGCTCATGTGAGTTAGCCTTCTGAAATCACTGAGATGATTAGAGGGAAAAGCACCTGTTCCTTTCCTTAAGAAGGAATTTTCAGTGAATTTTTTTTAACGTTTTTGAGTATTTATTCAGTCAGCCCTCATTCATTAATAAACCTTTCACTGACATGCTGCTGTGCGGTATAGAACGTGACCTTTGCTTTACAGCATCAGACTTCTTTTGAAAAATGTTTTTGCAACATAAAACATAAAACATTTAAACATAGAGAAGCGCTTTTTACAACGTGCTGGCATGAAAATTTTTGATCATTTTTTGATAAGATAATACATTTTATTTCCTTGAGAGAAGATTGCAAGCAGATTCTTCTCTGTAGAGCTATAAATCAGCAGCTTGAATCTATGCTGCTTCTACATCTGTTCCTACAGGGCTTCCATATTTTTTTTTCTGTATGAAGACAATTTGATATTTAGACATGGATGTCACTGTAAGAAGGAGGGCAACCAAGTCAGATCTCTAACCAAGTGCTGATCTTAGTGCAGTGCAGATCTATATGTTTAAGGTTGGTGGTTTTTTTTGTACTTGTTTCATGATGGCAGACAGACTACAGAATTTACCTTGATCCGACCAAAGCGTAAGTAAAATAGAGTTATTCAGACAGAATATTTACACTTGTGGCTGTATGTATGTACGCTTGTGGATCAAACCTTTCTGGTTGGATCAGAATAATTATGAACTTTTTTGTTTCCTCTATTCCTGAAATGCTGAATTCCTAACTGGCTGGGTTTGAGGTTAGTTTGAAACATGAGCAGTGCATGAATTTGTGGGACATTCACATAGGTGAGCTGAGGAGTCTGCTTACTGCAGACGTTGAGGCAGTTGCGCTCAAGTTATGCATCCGTTACCTGCAGATCCCTGTGTGTGTGTGGTTCCTTGTGGTTATCTTCTGTTTGCCTGGAGTCTGAGTAATGAAGTCTTTTTCTTCTGAGTATCAGAACCTCTGAAGGACCCGGGAAAGGAGGTACTCCGTTCAGTTCTATAGAAACTCATGAAGGAGTTGGAGATGCAGAGTAACGTGATTCTCAGTTATTTGCTTGAAGTAGGATCAAAAATAATATGGTCGTAGGATTGTCCTGGAGAGGAAGCAGTCACGTTAGAAGCAAAAAAATTTGGCTTTTTCTTGAGGAGGGGAGTTGTTCCTACAAACCAGGTGTGCCTGAGGAACTCACCTCCTCTGGGAGAAACAAGAATTAATGAATCACTTATTTGCTTTGACGTTATGGACCGATTGGTGAATATTTGCGTTATTTAAAATGTAGTGAAGACACGACAGTTAGCTGAAATATCTGTGGCAATCTTTTGCTTGTCCAGGTGACAGCAAGATGAGCCCAAGTTGGTGGGCTGAAGTTGAGAAGGTGCTAAATCACACCTTGATGTAGAAGATTGTTTCTCTGAATAATTGTATTTCTCCTAGAAAAATTGATCTGCTGTAATGTGAGTGATTTCCTCCAGTATCCCACTTCAGTATCTGTAGTTCAATTTCTAGCTGTAAGGAAAATAACTGAGTAAATCCCTCTATGCATTAAGTGCTTGTGAATCTACAACGACTTGAAAATGCTGTATTTGAAGTAATATTAAAAATAGTAATTGGCGAGGCCATTGTGGTTTGGCTAGTTACCTTTTTCAGCAATGTGTTGTATTGTTAAACAGCTTTTCTTTCTTGACTATACACCCACGGAGCATAAAACTTTAAAACAGTCAGAGGAGTGCAATCTGTGTTTTGATAGAAATACAGAAGAGCCACTGTCAAAGCATCACGGTTTCATGAAGCTGTGCAGACGGGCCTGGCATGTGGATGGCTTAGATAGATTCTCTCCTCTGTGACTCAGGCAGATTTTCAAGTTTAAAAATCTTCACTTTCACTTGAAAAAGCTTCTTTGAATACAGAGTAAGTAATGCTTTTAACTCCTCAGCTCATAGCAAGAAAGTGAAAGTCTACAGTTTGAAAAACTATCAACCTTTTAAAATTTCAGAAGCTCCTTACAAGGATTAAAACAAGGAGACGACCCTAAGTGTGGTGTGATGCTGTTTTGAAGCCCTGCTCTCTGCAAAGGTTCATGCAGAAAGCCCCGCGTTTCCTTTGGGGACGGGATAACCATGCTGTATAGATTTAGGTACCTGTGTGGAATCCTCTCCAGTAGGCACTCATTTCTCCCTCTTGCCACCGTGGGAAATTCGGACTGTAATCTTCAGTGATCTCGCTTGCCACTCTGCTTGCAGACCTGTTGTTAGAATTGGAGATGATGAGGTTGCAAACAAAGTAAGTGAGATGCTCTCATTTATTAAATGGCCAAACTGAATCTCACCTGATGTTGCCTGTTAAAGTAACACATAGGAAACATGTAGCTGTATCACCTATGCTTTGTCCAAAGTTCTCTACCTGAAGTATATTCAGAAAGGGACATACGAAAGAAAGTGATGTAATATGCTTACAGTAGACTTCATTTGGTCCCTCTCTACGATCACCTTGTCTATCTTGCCTGCAGGTAGCTTTCAATGGTGGATGTGTGAAAAGTGTAATGCAGTCAGAATGCAGTTTATAAGAGTGACGTATGTGAGAATGTTTTAGGAGGTCAACATCATTTAGAAAAAAATCTGAATTCTGCCATAATTTTGACGTTTGTTAAAGTGATGTGCGAGATACAGAATGATGTGAGTCTGTGAAATCCACTGTTCGATGTCATTTGCTCTACTTCTGAAGCAAACAGTTGCCTGTGGAAACTCTGACAATGCTATTTTCGGTTGTCTTACCATGTCTTTCTTAATGTATATTCCATTTCTGTTAAAAGAATGTTAAATTAAGTTGCTTGAAACTTTTAAATGACGTAGTATGAAATGAGAGAAAAAGGAGAGAATATTTTCCTAAGTGTTCTGCAGATGTAGAAATTGGTTGAACTTCGTTTGGTTCACCTTCTCTGTTTGCATCTTAAAGAATAAAATAGTAATGAAGAGATCACGTATTTGAAGAGAAAGCCTGTTGTGGTGAAAGGATAGCTATATGCTTTCAGTAGATAGCTCATTGGTAATGTTATTGAAGTAAAGGCTAAATTTCTTTACTGTTGTGTTCAGAATAGAAATAGTAGCAATAAAAAATAACCGCTATCTTTTTGTTGCTTGCTACGTGTATAAAAATAGTAAGGTTTGCTGAGCTAACGGCTTGGTTAGGAAGATGTTCACTCTCTGTCTTTTTAGACTGCCATTGTACAAACGCTAATATGATTTATGTTGCAGATGCATGTACTGGGGTTTCAATAAAATGAATATTGATGGGACTATTTTTTTTTTTTTTTACGTTGCCACATGATCAACCGGGGATTGTTTTACTTTTGTTACTGTGGAATACCAAATGCCTTAGTAGGACTTGATAATTAAGTATGCATGCACATGCTTCCAAGTTTTTATGCATATAATAAAAGTATATGAATGCGCGGTAACTATATATTTGCAGATGCTAAGAGAAAGTTGAATATTAATGGCATATTTTTATTTTGCAGCTTGGATCATCCTCGTCTGTGCCTTTTACGTCTATATTCTCGCAGCTGTTTATGACTGTTGTAGTCCCCCTTATTATTGGACAGGTATGTCTTTTATATATACATCCTCATTTTAAAAAGAAATAAGTTAAAGACAGCTATCTCAAAGACAGACCAGCAACGTGTCAAGCTACCGCATAGGAAACAGCCTCAGGATAGTGAAGTCTAATATCAGAGAAAGGATGCTACAGTGCTCCCTGGAGCCACATTGATCTTTGTTGAGATGGAGCATCTGTCCCTCCCTACCGCAAACATACGTTATTGCATATCGAGAAGGGAGTTGGTGAGCATGAAGTGGGAAAAATGGCAGCCCAGCCTGTGAGAAATTGCAGCTCCATACAAATGAGCTTTGAGAACACTATGCTGGCCTTTTGTCACGTGTCCTTTGCCCAGATGATGAAGGAAGTTCTTGTGTCGTATCTGCTTCTAATTACGAAATTAAAGAATTCTGTCCTGAAAGATATGTGAAGGCTGAGCGCTCACAAGTTAAGAAATAGTGAAGTTAACATGCTTGATCAATTTTGCATACAACTGCAATCATGCAGTTACAGTTCTTTTTCTTTGTGACTCCTCCATCATCTGTAATGTTGGATGGGAGGGATTCATGGAATAAGCAGTCGGTCCTTATTTCATCTTATACTCATTGTTCACACTGAAACACGAGGCCTTTTTTTTCCACAGAGTATCATTGAAATATTTCGCTGAAATATTTCCTCTGACACTTGTGCCTGTGGTATCTGTTTTTCACAAATACTGTTTTTTTCTTTGCTTCACGATGCCCGCTTTTTTTTTTTGTTTTGTACACCAGAGCACCTGGAGCCTAATTCTTTTATACTTCTTAGCAGCAGTTTTTCTCAGGCATAAATAATGCATTGAGGGAATATCGGCAGGTGGGTTCCCCCTCACTTCAGAGGAGAAATGTTTCTGTCTCTGGAATCCAGAGATTAACAATCAAAGAGTCCTTGACTTAAGGAGTATCTTGAGTCCTCTAGTCCTAGGAGGTCCCAAAAGTTGAAGTTCTTGCCTTATTTGCAAATTTCTAGGAAAAAAAACAGTGTGACAGCAGATCTAGAAATAAAGTAACTTACAGTGATAGGTGGAGTAGCAACAGTATGTACCGCGGTATGGTCAGTCTGATGATAGCAGATACGTACAAAATTCCAATAGGGTTTTCATCTGCCTTGGAAAATTGCTATAAGAAATTATGTGAGGTGAGTGACCGTGGCTTTTTATTGACTACAACAAATAGCAAGGCTAATTAATGGGGACTGAGCAGTGAGCGTGCATAATAAGTGCTCTGAATAAGTACAAATGAAAAATGTGATGAGATTTAAGTGACAACAGATGTGATTTAGGAGCTGAAGGAAAAGTCAATAGCAAGTTTGTGTAACTCGATCCTGAATTTACGTAAGAGTTTGTTTTGCATGAATACAAAGGATGATTCTCTCCTTTAGAAATGTTTAAAGTGATGGCTGGAAGTGAATGACCAAATGGAGTAGCTCTTGTTTCCTGTAAGTGTAAAGGCTTTATTTCTAGAGATACTGTACTATCTGTTCAGAGGTTATGGAAGAGAGGAATTGCTAAAGATAGCTTCAGATCACAAATCGCAAGGATGATTTACATTCATTGTTGTGATTAAGTAGAACTGTATACCAAGATAAACCGACTTGCTTAGGGAGGAATAAAAGCCATTTTTTGGAAGGCAGGTGTCCAAACGTAAAAAGCAAGTAACTCAAGGAAAAACATTAAGCAAGAAAAGCGGTGACATCAGGAGATGCAGTGACACGTCTTACTGTGCCTCAGCCAGAGGTGGCTTGGTTCATCTTTGAGTTAAATGGGAAGCTGTGCGTTTCATTTGTGGACCTCTATCGACTCATTACTGGACTGCTGCCCAATGTGTGGCGCAGCAACGTAGCAGTGCTTTGTGAATTGCAAGCTGCTCACTCTGAGATTCCAGATGCATTAACAGATAATGGCCCACAATTCATGAATGACAGCCTCAGCAATTACTTCTAATTTATCATTTCCTGCCTGCAATGTCAATTCCTTACTACGCACAGTCGGTGCAAGAACGCCTGTTAAGGTTCCCTGGTAGCAAAAAGCTTGATTGGGAAAAACTGCCCTTGGAAACTGTTTGCTTGGAGAGTTGCTCGTCTTCTTAATTCATCTGTGATCAACACAGGTTTTGTGTTTGAACCTCATCCGTGTAAAACGGAGGAGGCTGCTTTAAGGAAGCATTCTCTAAGGGGGTTATATTCCTTTGAAAAAAAATCTCGCCTGAGAAAACCTTTGCTGCCTAGATGCTGGTTTCCTGAGCAGGCTGCAAAGCTGGCTGCTTCAGTAGCCTTTGGGAAAAAGAGCAAAGCAGATGACATTTTTTGTTTTGTGCTGTTTCTTGCTTTATGGCAGTGTTTGAGTTGGTTGGATGACATGTTAGATTTGTTTTTTTTTTTTTTAAGGGTAACTGGTAGAAGGACTTCACAATAGTGTCACTGATATTTATTTTCTATTCTTGCCTAAAGAACTTCATTAAAGAATTTTCTAGTGTGTGCCTAGACTGCTGTTGATGTGAAGATAGTTTTTTAGTCACAGGCAATGAAAAGTCAAAAAGGCTGCATCTATGTCCTCTGCTCAGGTGGTGGCTGTCAGTTGTTAAAGAAATAACCGGTAAAGGAGGAGGTAAGACGTTCTGTTATCTGGGAGCCACTGAGGCTTACAGATAGCAGTTGCTGATGGATGACCTTCAATAAGGATAATTACTCTTTTCTTTGTCACAGATGTTTTGGCTGTCTGCAGTGGCCTGCATCCTCCATGGCTGTAGATGCATTTTGCTAATCGATAGCACGATACCATTCAAATCGATGTGAATACTATGATAGTGCGCTTGTATTTAAAGAGCAAAAGTTAACGTTTCTCTGACAAGTGGTCTTGGGGAGGTAGAATCTATAGTGTTTTATAAAGATAAGTTTTTCTATTAGGCTTGATGGTCTGTAGATTGTAACAGCTTATTTGTACATCGCTCTTGTACACCTCTAGGGGGAATTTGAGAATACTTGTTACACAGTAAACATGGTAACAGATATGTCATAGGAAATATTTTTGCAAATGGTTCTGACACCTTGAACTTCTGATAGCTTTTTTATTGGGTGGCAGAGTTCGATAACGTCTGAGGAAGACTGCTGCTCCTGAGCTGTTGTCATTTTGCTAAACTAATTGTTTGTAGGCGTTAGCAATGTCTAAATAGTAGAAAAATCTAAATGGCTTCTTCCTGACCAGCTCTTGAGCATTTGGCTGAAGACTGTTGTTTCTGTACTTATTTTTTCTCTTCTGAAGTGGCAGATAACAGGACTAGTGAAAGCCACTGCAGCAGTTCCTTTCTCATTTTGAAGACTTTCTCTATTCTCTGCACCTAAGTGCTTATGACAGACTTTTATTTTATGTTTTATATTAAAGAGCAATTTATGATTAAATGTTAATGAAATAGAATTTTCACTGTGCTTTCATTCTATTCTACTAGTTTGAACATTTTTCAAAGCAGCACACCAAAACCCACTGTTTTCTATGAATAAATAATAAAAAGCTTGTCTGTACATTATCATTCATGCATTCTCTAGTTGCCCCATTGGTAATTTGTCTGCCAGTGTAAAGTGGGCACTTCATATTAAACAGACCTTAACTAAAGCTAAAATTAATGTTATCATTCCAGTGGTGGTTCTTCCCTAATCTATAAAATGAAGGTCGTTGAACAGAACGTAGTCACACCAAAAATCTCGGTGTTCTACAGGTAAAGGATTTTAAGTGCCTTCTGCATCGTTGCCCAAAATGTTCCAGAGGAACCTCATCAGCACTTTGGAGGTGTGTTTATAAACACAACTTAAAAGGAGCGCTGTGTTGCAATACAAGTTGTCAGTGAAACTGAAGCTAAAAGGCTTAGCGATGTATTTATTTTGGAAGAGTAAGAAATTGGAAGGAAAAGATACGTGGCAGTTGCTAATGAGCAGAAGGAACGGTTTGTCTTAACGTAGTGCTCATTTGTTGTGGGGAGGGGGTTGGGAACGATGCTCAAAGCAACTGCTATAAAAAGGGAGCGGTGTCAAACGCTTTCCGTCTTGTAACCGAAACCCACGCAGAAGCAGTCCTGCCTCTTCAGGCTCCACGGAGCTGCAGGGAGCAGGAAGAGTGCTGTCCTGAGACAGGAGTGCTTCTAGAACCTTGTTGCAGAAAACTGAGTTGTCAGATCATCACTTGGACCACGGTTCGCTCCCTCCTAGCACTTGACTCAACAGGAAACAAAACTTTGTCCCCGAAGAAAGATAAAATATAAAGAAAATATTTGTACTGCTGTCACAGAGTGACTTGACAGTCTTTGCCATGTTGCACCTGTTTGTAGTATTTTAAAGCAACAGTTGTAAATTGCTCCAAGATGTGAAAATGAATTTTCAAAGTGGCCTTACATGGACTTGGTTACGTTTGGTTTGAAGACGTGTGTGTCAGGAGCTATCGCCTAGGAGCGAATTGATGGAAAGAATGAAGTAAAGCAGCTTTTAGAGGATTTTGGTAAACTGAGGAAAAGAAACAAGTGGCTTATAAATCTTTTTTTTTCCCCAGATTTCAGAAACAGTTGTGTGTTTTTTTTTTTCTCCCCAGTCCCATCTTCAGAACTAGTTAATTAGATTGTAGAATAAGGACAGATTTGATGTTTGTTGATGTCCCGGAAACCTGGAAAGTATCTGGGTCTCTATGACAGCATCCAGGAGTGAGTAAGAATGGATGCTGTCCCTGTCAGGTGATCAGGACAGGGTCTGGTGCAGTGGTAGAAGCTCCTCTCTGGAAAGGTCAGTGCGTCTGAACTGCACTATGGACCCTGGTTGTGTGGAGGGTTGTGGTGTTACACAGATCTGAGAAAGAAGTTGTGTCTTATCTGCATCATATGTTAAAAACTGCAACCGATGTAACCTCCCTTCCTTCCTGATATCTCCTTCTTTCTAGTGATTTTCTTAGTTCACTTTCATTATGGTTTTTTTTTTTGTTTTGTTTTTGTTTTT